GTAAAGGGCATATGTTGCCAAAAAACTGTAAATAAATATACACTAACGTGAAATAATCAAGTGCTGAGGCATAGACCCGTTGACGAATGACGTTATTCGACGGTCTGGCAGCGGTTGCTTCACCTTGAAGCATACTGAGAGCACAGGAAAGCAGTCGAAATCGTGCTCCGACAGCTTCTATGTTACGAGTGAGAACTACTAAAATAAAAATCCAATAAAATAAATAAAAATCCAGTGGGTGCTACAGTTCACTTACACAATAGTAAACCCGGAACAGTAGAAACAGACCCTCTACACTTACCCTGCTGTTCGAATAACGGGCTGGAAAGGGCGGGTGATGGAGCTATCGTCGCTGGCCCACTTCCCACCACTAAACTCAAGGACTGTGCGAACATCGTTTCGAGAATATCCAGCTGTTCCTGGCTGCTGTACTTGGCAACGTCCACTCGTTCAGCAATGAACTAGAATGGTTACTATCACGAAAATTCTGAGGAACACATAAGAAATGGGACGCAGTTTGGCTTCGTAGGGCACTGCACTAGTAAGCAAAGCTACTTCAGGCCACCTTGCGAAGGATCTGTAAACTTTTTTGACTCGAGTAGCTCACTTTACTACTTCGCAGCTTCGCAGAAGTTTATAGGCCTCACCGAAGTGTAACCTGGTAAATAAATTGAACTAGCAAAACGAATTAGCGAAGGCGTGAAATGCCTTCCCAAACCAAACACCGCCAAATTTACCCTTACCATAAACAAATTGCTAAATTTATTTATTTAATTGTCCGGGAATTTGATTCTACCTGAATAGTATGAAGAGGCTTGGTCAAGGATGAGATAGCTATGATATAACGAATATGGATTGAAATGTTTCCACGATCGGCGGATAGGCGGAGCAGGAGGAGGAGACCCATAACCATTGAGCACTCCCCGTTCGAAAGCACAACCCCTTTTTGGGATTGGTGAGGACCCTTGGCAAGATGTTCACTGTTATAATCATTCTATCATATTTTTAAATTTGGGAGTAATTAACCCGAGTTTGGACCACACCATTTACCCCCCCCCCCTTTCCACCCCCATAACTGGGAAAGCATCGCCCCTATTGCATATGCTTCTCGAGTAAGACGACAACCCTGTAAGCTCTAGCCTGTTCCTCGTAACTAGTTTGAGTGGATCTCATCAATCTCAAGAAAAGGGGAGGGGCGATTGAGGGATCCATGTCGCGCCGACGATCGCAAACTAGGTAGGTTCTCGGCTAGTTGATAGTTCCATAATGCAACAATTCTTCTTTGAACCGATTAGGTCCTGATGAAGACGCCAAGCACGTTAGGCCAGCTACAACGCCACCTTCGCTGACTGTGAACGGTGTAATTCCATGACAACCGCGCGAACTCGACCCTCGCCGCAGCTGGGATGTGCTGGGCAACACCTTCTCTCCGGGAAAAAAGGTTTCTAAACGGCAAAGTTGCAACTTACATTCAGCCATAGTGCATGAGGTTTATAATGTGGTGGTTTCGGTGGTGACTTCAGTTGTTCACAAAGAGGTGACGGTGAAGGCGGCATTCGTTCATAGAGGCCTAAACCCTGGCGACAAGACTCCGTCCATGCAGAACACATTTCACGTAGAAACTGAAAAAAAATAAATTATTGAGCAGCAGTTTGTCTTGGAGGGGTGGAATTTTGCACTTTCGCTACTTTTCATACTGCGTTCAATGCTTTATAGGAGTTGACAGCTTCTTTCCAAGAGTTGTGGGCAAAAATCTGACGAACACTACTCCGTGGCTTATAAGATTTCACAGGTTTTCTTGGTGGTTTAACACGTCAATGGGAAGTTGCGAAAGTGCAAAATTCTCCCCCCCCCCTCCTAATGCGTCCAGGCTAACAAACTCACGATATTCTGAATATCGGTCCTTGCAGCCAGAATCCAATTCCAGCTCAGAACACACAGTTGCATAGTTGATTCGTCAAAGCTACGCAGTGGGCAACGAACCAAAATTGAGAGAATGTGATCGTTTACATCTGAAATTTTGAGCATTCTAAGTTAGCTTTCCCCAAATGGTTTTGAACTGAAAAAATCCCGAAGGAAGTGCAAGTGGCAGAGCGTTCTTAAACAAAGCAAATCCCCTAGAATTCCGCTTTACGGTCCGTTAGCCATGCAAAGATAAAAAGCTCACTGAAACGCCACCAAATAATCTTTCAACTATACCTGATCGAGTTTTTGCGTCTGTTGTAGCGTAAGCACCACGGAACTCTGATCATTCTAATATTACTTAGGCTCACAATACATGATTGTTTAGAGTTTTTCTATTTCTTTTGTAGGCGTAGTTCTGCGATACGAGGGAACGCATTTTGCTTCCCATCGATGCGTCGACCCATCTAGATAGCCTTTTCTTGAGTTGACACGTTTACCATGGTGGCTAGACGATTGCTCCAGCTTCACAAGAGTTCACAAGTTTCACCAGAGTGAGACTTGTAAACTCGGAAG